ACATGTCGATCTAGCTCGAGACGTGGCGCAGCAGGACGGGGTCTGGGGTCTAGAGCTCCGTTTGCGTTACCTCGCGGTGTCGCATTTGCTTCGCCACGTAGGGCTGGTTACCAGGGGGGGCCCCAGTGCCCAGGGCCGCCAGGGCCCGCTTCCTTCGGGACCCGCTTGCTTCGTTCCAGCTTCTGTTTCTGGCTTGCCAGCCGCGAGAATTGCCATGTCTGCTCGGGGCCCCAAAACGGTGCGGGGAGCACACCGTGCGGTGACTCCACGCTTCGGACGTTTGTCGCCGGGGATTCGGGGTCACCGCGCGGTTCGGACGTTTGGCGTCCCCTTGCCACGGGATGCGTTCCAGCAGCTGCGCCTCGCTGGGGGCGTTCCAGGGCTGCCCGCATCGTTCCCAACGACCGCCATAAAATCGAGAGATGGCCCAGAAATCAAACATTCAGAGAAAAGCCGATGTGTTGAGCCAGTGGGGATTCGGACTCACCGCGGGGCTTTGGTACCGGAGCGGGGCCACGAATGCGAGGAGAGTGCCGGAATAGCAGCGGGTGCCGCATGCGAGCCCTGCAGCTGGGAGGCTTTGGTGGAGCTCCCTTCGGGGCGACGAAGCGAGTGAAGGGTGCGGGCATTAACGCGGGTACACCTTAGGCGATGCTTAAGAAAACCTAGGTTTTCGGCCAGAGTCTCGATTATTCTTAATGTTTCAATGTAAATCCTAAGATTTGAATGGGCATTCTGGGTTTTTATTTAAATTCTGAGACTAACAATTTCTTAACCCATGATTTCTTAAGCATTTCGCAGGGTGTACATCACGCGAGCCCAGCCACGGGGACCTTACGCAGTTTCAGCCCCCTGTGAGGCCACGGCTCGTGCGGGGGGTGCGCCGCAGTGGAGAAGCGGGTGCCGCACGCAGGCCCTGCCGCTGGGGCCCTGGGTCTCCCCGCGTGGCCCCGACGCGTGTGATGGGGTGTGCTGAAAGCGGCGCTCGGAGAGCAGAGGCAGAGATGGGAGGAACGAGGGGGAGGAAGGTCACCACCCACCAAACCACCCCAACCCAACCCGAAGGCCCAAATGTATCCTCGATTTCCAGTGGGGGGGGGGGTCGGGGAACGTTGAAAAAATGCATGGTATCCGTACCCCCCTCCAACCCGAAATTCGGGTCAAATTCGGGTCTTCGGGTTGGGTTGGGGTGGTCTGGTAGGTAGTCAGAAGGACGGTGGGATGGAGCGTGGCGCCGTCTCTTCAGCATTCCGGCGATCGCAAACGTGGATCAAGGGGGCGTGGATCAGCGACGGGTCCCGTTTCCATGGGACATCGCGGATTTCCGCCGCCGAGCGAGGCGGCACAGGCCGCATTCTGGGGAGGGCACCTCCCCCGATCCATGGATTCGGCGACCGCGCGCCAAATCCATGGATCGCTAGTCCATGTTTGCGCGCCCCCGAAAAATGAGCGCCCAACGCCACAGGATAGTGGGGAAACACAGGCGGGCGGCGGAGACGGATGGGGACAGGGGAAGGAGGGGCGGCGGGAGGGAGCGAGGGGAGAGGGGAGAAGGGAGGCGTCAGGCGGGAGGGGGGAGCATTGGAACACGCGGAGGGGCGGGACGAGCATGCTACATTTAGGCGATCGCAAACATGGATCAAGAGGGTGTGGATGATGCTGCCTCAGTCTCGTGGGTCCCGTTTAGCGAGGGCGTTGCGGAGATGACGTCAAGGCCTGTCGGGGGAGTGGAAGCGGGGTGGTTGTCTGAGGCACCATCCATTGGGCAGGGCCTGTGGAAGAGGAGCTCTGGGGGAGTGGAAGCGAGGTAGTTGTCTGATGCGCGATCGATTGGGCCCGTTGAAGAGGAGAGCTGCAGGAATTCAGCTGCTTGCGGCAAGTCGCGCCACCATGCCTGCCCATAAATATGCGTGGCGACTCTGCGAGGGGGTACGGGAGGCCGTCACCAGGAGGAGGAGGAGGAATAGGAAGAGGAAGGTTGGTGCTATCCCTCGAATGGGCGCATCCCATCTTCCAGAAATTCTCGCCCCATCTCCCTCCGATCTCGGGTCAAGTACTGCAATGGGCGCGTGCTGCAATTCAGGGTGGAGGAGCGTCTGGGCCGTCGAACAGCCTTCTAAGGCCACATTGGGTCGTCCAAGGGTCTGCCAAGCTTACTGGGTGCCTCTGGAGGCCATCTTGGGCCGTCTTCGGACCGTCTTGGATGTCTGACAGGCCATCATGGGATCCTCGAGGCCCTCTTGGGCTGTTTTGGATGCCTCGTGTGCCATCGCGGAGTCCTCTTGGGCCATCTTGGAGCTCTTTGGAGACTTCTTGCCGTCCTGGGGCTCTCTATGGTTGTCTTGAGCCGTTTTGGCCGCATGGTGGATGTCTGGGGGGGCGTCTTGGGCCGCCAAAGGGCAGTTTAGACAGTCTGGGATCCCAGGGGGAGGCCGCCTTGTAGCCGTGTTGGATGCCTTTGGGGCCATCTCGGGACCCTCTTTGGTGCTTCTAGGGTCGTCGTGGAGCCATCGTGGAGGCTTCGCGGGCCGCCTTGAGCTGACGGCAGCCACTAAAGGCGAGACTGCGAGCAGCAATCTAACGGACATCAAGTGTTTTGGTTTCCTCGGACGTTGTTGAGGGCCTTCTTGTCTGCTCTCTTGGATGCATCGTAGGCCGTCTTGAAGCCACATTGGGCCACCTTGGGGCCATATAGGGCCAACATGGAAGCTCGGGGCGCGGACGCACTCTTTGTTGCGAGGAATGTGGCTTCGGGAACGCGGGCCCACCTTTTTTGCACGAGGGGTCGTGGCCTCGGGAGTATGGGGCGAGGCACGCGCCAACGGGAGGGGAGGGGGTCCCGTACTGTGACACAACAGCCCTAGAAGACAGCAGTTGACATCGCACCACGCCTCCGCGTGCCAGGGGGCAAGGTGGCGGATAACAAGGCCAGGCCTGGTCGGCGGGGAGGCAGTGTCCTGGTGAAAGCGTGGCGGGATCGAGGTGGGGCCCTGGTGGGGGAGAAGCAGCTGCTGGGTGTGGGCGTGTAGAAGTGGAAAGCGGAAGGAAGAGGTCGGGCCCCTTAAGGCCAGCGTCGCGGCTGGCGCGGCGGGGGGCGTGATAGAGGCAAGGTTGGGGCCCGATGGAGGGTTGGTCGGTTTGGGGGGGCGAATGCGCCAGGGTGGGGCGATTCAAGTGGAGTGCTGCGCCAGCGAGTTTGTCCGGTACGATCGACATTGGCACGTACGAAAATAATGGCAACGGAAAGGATAGCGTCGCTGCGGACGTTGTCCGTTTGAGACAGGAGGCCGTCTGCCCAACAGCTGCCGCTGCCGATTTTTGGATTACTTTCGCTGTTGGGCATCGTGACATTTTCCGTACTCGTTTCGGGCGGTTGAATTTGTGGGGAGTCGTGGGCGCGAAGTGGACATTTCGGGGGGGGGCGTCTCAGGTGCAGAATCCGATGTGCGTGGGCCTTCACAGCCAGGGGAGTGCATCAGAGGTACCGTTTCGGTGCACCGCTTGGCTGGTGAGGGTTCTTGAGATACCGAGGCGGAAAAGTGCGCCAAGGGGCTTTGGGTGCGCATTTGGCGGGGCGTAGCCAGGGCACGGTATAGGCGTGCCGAGGACTGGTGGAAGCACTGGGGCGGGGGTCGGACCTGGTGGGGCGTGGTGGGGGCGAGGTGGAGGCGTGGTGGAAGCGTGGCGATGGCGTGGCGGAGGCATTGTGGAGATGAAGTGGGTCGAAGTGGCGACTGCGCTGTGAATCTGCTGGGTGGCGCCTTGTAAAGCAGCAGTTGCTGCACAAGCGGATCAAGAGTTGGGGCGTAGTGCTTTGTGGGCTGAGTCGGCAGTTTGGGGCTTACAGGAGGCCGCCGGTTCGAAGGCGGCGGGGGTCGGAACTCGTGGCGGCGTCGCGCGCGGTGCAGGCGTGGACGGTGTCTATGGGGTCAAAATCCGTTGGACCGCTCGGGGTTGCCAGAAGATCTGTCAGCGGGCTGCAGGCGTCAAATTTGCTGCGGGTCATCTCCGCCTTCTCTCCTCTTTCTTCCTAGAGGTTGTGCTGGAGAAGCAGAGCAAATCCGTTGGGCAGGTGCGTCTGAAGCAGTGAAAGGCTCTGCACCGTGTGGCCAGTGGTTGGACATGGTGGGGGCGTGGTGGTGGTGATGGCGCCCTCCTCTCCTCCTCTCCTACAGCGGAGGCCTATGTCAAGAGACACCCTGCTTGTCTCCAGGGTGCCCTGGGCTTCTTGGGTTTCCATGGTCTTGCGATGGAAAGCGTGGCGTTCCCACACCAGGAACCAGTGGACTTGGTTTTGCTCGGACGTGTGAACTTTTTCTCGGCGGGGGATATGACAGAGCATCCTGGATCATCCTGCGAAAAAACCGCACACGAAACCGAAAAAAACACAGGGACTGGACGTCCGAGCGATGGCCAGTGGACGTCCTGGAGCCTCAGGGTTGGGCTTCTTGTGGGAGGTGTCGTGCGGACTGGCCTCCGCTGTACCGTCGAGGCGCCGAGGCAAGGAGAGGAGGGGGAGGAGGAGGAGGAGGAGGAGGAGGAGGAGGAGGAGGAGGAGGAGGAGGAGGAGGAGGAGGAGGAGGAGGAGAGGAGGGGGAGGAGGAGGGGGAGGGGGAGGGGGAGGGGGAGGGGGAGGGGGAGGGGGGGGGGGAGGAGGGGGAGGAGGAGGAGGAGGAGGAGGAGGAGGAGGAGGAGGGAGGAGGAGGAGGAGGAGGAGGAGGAGGAGGAGGAGGAGGAGGGGAGGAGGGAGGAGGGGGAGGAGGAGGAGGGGAGGGGAGGAGGAGGGGGAGGGGGAGGGGGAGGGGGAGGGGGAGGGGGGGGGGGGGGGAGGGGGGGAGGGGGAGGAGGGGGAGGGGGGGGAGGAGGGGGAGGAGGAGGGGGAGGGGGAGGAGGAGGGGGAGGGGGAGGGGGAGGAGGAGGAGGAGGAGGAGGAGGAGGAGGAGGAGGAGAGGGAGGAGGAGGAGGAGGAGAGGAGGAGGAGGAGGAGGATTTTTTTTTTTTGCTTCCAGTCGCACATCGGCCAGCCTCCGAGCCATCGCGGGCCAGAGCTGCACACGGGCGCCCGGGGCACGGCCTGCCGCGGGCGTCACTGGCAGCGCTCCTGCTCCTCGTCGCTGTCCTGCGACCAGGCCTCCCAGGTCTCCCGGGCCAGCAGGGCCCACTCCGATCTGGTCAGGCCTAGGTCCTCGCAGATCCGCTCCTGGGCCGCCGCGAACGCCCGGGCCTGCGCCTGCTCCGCGGCCGTGGGCTCCACGGCGTGGTTCCACCGCCCGCCGCGCAGCGCCTGCCTGGTGCGGTCGAGCACGGGGCGCGCGTACAGCTCCGCCGCCCGCATGAGCGACACCTCGAAGGGCCTGAGCGACGGGTTGTGCGCGACGGACGGCACCCAGACGCCGTGCGAGCCGAACGGCGTGATCAGCGCCACCCTGTCCGGCCCCAGCGTCCCCAGCGACCCCACGCCCCGGCGGTCCAGCTCGCCCAGGACCCTCTGGAGCTCGAGCGGGCCAGCCCTCCCGACGTGGGTCACAAACAGGCCGACCAGCAGCGGCAGGAAGTTCAAGACGCTGTAGCCGCACACCTGGTTGTAAATCGTGAAGTGCGGCGGCACGTGCGTGTCCTGATGGTACGACGTGACATAGTGCTGGAACTTCCAGATTAGATACAACCGTCGATTCAAGCTCACAGCGTCGCAGTCACGAAGCGACGAATCCACCTGCCTATGGAAGTCGTCGATCAAATCTACGCCACTCCCGCCTGCGCCGAATCCGAAGTCCCAGGTGGTGTTCAAAGAGCCCTGGCCATCCAGGGGCTGCAGCTCATCTGGCCGCAGGGAGTGCACCTGCTCCTGGTCGAAACAGTTGTGGGCGCACACTTTGTACACGGATAGAAGCCCGTCGTCTCTGGTGGACATCCGCTTCACCATCGGCAGCAGCCCAGCGAAGTCCACGTCTCTGGAGCTGGAGATCTCGCGAGCGAAGGAGCCGTGCAGGATGCAGCCCGGGAGCCCGTCGGGGCCCGTGTGCCCCAGCTCCTCCGCCCGCGCCAGCACGTCTTCAAGCGACCGCCCCTCGAACCAGAGGTGCAGCACGTAGCTCGCAAACTCCATGGTCTCCATCCACCGCCCCGCGACATCCTCCCTCGGCACCGTGGCCATCCGCAGGCGGGCGTGGCGCGCGGAGAGGCGCGAGCGGCTGGACGGCGGCAGCTCCTCGACCATCTGGGTGATCCAGCGGGCGCGCGGCTGCCGCACCCAATGCTCGGCCGTCCTCGCCGCGCGCGCGGCCTGCTCCGCGAGCAGGGCCCGGAGGTCCTCCTCGGTGTCCACCCTGCGCACCTCGCTCGCGGGGGTGTTGCGGAACTCGAAGAAGACCTCGCCGACGCCCTCGCCGCGGGCCTCCCTCAGCCGCAGCACCGGATGCGCGAGGTGGCCCTCTGTGGCCCGCTCCCCCGCGGCCGCGGATGTGGACGCCTCTGGCGCGCCCGGCCCCGGCGCCGCCGCGGGCGCCGTCGCCTTCGGGCTGCGGGCCGTAGGCTCGGCGAGCGCCTCGGCCGCTGCGGCGGTGCGCGGCCGCACGCGCCGGTCCCCAGGCTGCGGCGCCTCCGCGGGCTCCGCGGGCGCCCGCTGCGCCATCGCTGGCGGGGGGCGAGCGGCGCGGTGGGGCCCGCGGCGCGGCTTGAGCCAAAATGGCTACGGAGGAGGAGGAGGAGGAGGAGGAGGAGGAGGAGGAGGAGGGGGAGGGGGAGGAGGGGGGAGGACGAGGGGGGAAGGGAAGGTTGTGGACAGCTCGGGGCTCCGGAGAGGCCCTGGCGCTCGGGCCGTGCCTCCACGGCCAGGCCAGGGAGAGCCCGTGCGCGGCCGGTGCCCGTTCGCGGCAGGCAGAGGAGCTGGCTCGGCTCCCTGTGCGGCGCTCCTTCTGGCAGCACGGTGCGGCTGCACTCCTCCCCCATCCCCCCGGGGGGCTGCTGCCCCCCTAAAGGGGGCTGGTGCCCCCAGGGAACTGCTGCCCCCCAGGGGACTGCACTCCCCCCCCCCAGGGGGCTGCTGCCCCCCTCAAGGTGCGAGGGCTAGCTCGCTGGCTGTGCTCATCATCATCATCATCATCATCATCATCATCATCATCATCATCATCATCATCATCATCATCATCATCATCATCGTCATCGTCATCGTCATCGTCATCATCATTACCATTATCATTATCATTATCATTATCATCAGCATCAGCATCAGCATCAGCATCAGCATCAGCATCAGCATCATTATCAGCATCAGCATCAGCATCAGCATTATCATCGTCATCATCATCATCATCATCAGCATTATCATCATCACCATCACCACCATCACCATCACCATCAACCATCACCATCACCATCACCATCGTCATCGTCATATCATGATCATGATCATCATCATCATCATCATCATCATCATCATCATCATCATCAGCATCAGCATCATCACCATCACCATCACCATCACCACCACCATCACCATCACCATCACCATCACCATCACCATCACCATCACCATCACCATCACCATCACCATCACCATCGTCATCGTCATCATCGTCATCGTCATCATCATCATCGTCATCATCATCACCATCATCATCATCATCATCATCATCATCATCATCATCATCGTCATCATCATCATCATCATCATCCGTCTCCTCCCTCTTTCCCTTCCTCCTCCTCCCCTCTCCCCTCCTCCACCTCCTCCCTCTTTCCCTCCCTCCCTCCCTCGCTCGCCCCCCTCCGCCCCCGCCCCCCAGGGGGGAGGGGGGGGGAGGTCGGGGGGAGCTTCGCGGGGCGCCCCGCTCCCGCAGAGGTGATGATGGCGGCGCCCGCCGCGGGCGGCGGGGCCGAGGAGGAGAAGCCCGCGGAGAAGACCGAGTTCGACCTCGTCCTGAAAGAGGCCATCGGCCCGTGCGCCTCTCGGAGGAGGAGCAGGTACTCCAGACTTCGTAATAAAAGGGAGGGGGGTCTCATTTCGGGGGGGGGTCTCTTCCAGGCTATCTTGGAGGGCCTGGGGGGGTCTGGGGACGATGCTTTGGAGGGTTCTCCCACGGGGGAGATCTGAAATGGCTTGTCTTGGAGGGTCCAGACCCCCTCCCGTTTATGGCGAAATCTGGAGTACCCATACGTAGGATTAAGTCGAGCCGGTCCCTCCACAGGAGGAGTCAGTCAAGCCCTGCGCCCGAACGGCGCATTGGCAAATACAAAGTTAGCACAGCGCACTGTCGCCGGACAGCTGATGCGATGCGAAATTCGGTGAAAACGCATCGGCTCCACCTGTGAGGACAAGCGGGGAGGAGGAGGAGGAGGAGGAGGAGGAGGAGGAGGAGGAGGGGCGAGGGGAGGAGGGTTAGCGCCGAAAACAATCAGAGCACGCCTGCTGGCAAAAGCGAATGGACGCTGGAAGCCCTTTGCTGTTTGGGTCTCCCTCTCTTCCTTTTGTGCTCCCATCGCCTAGGCAGCCTTGTGCCAGGCTCACACGTAAGGAACTTGAGGAGATTAGTTTCCGGGAGTGCCGAAATCTTCCTATACAAATTCATTTGCCGATCACGGAGCGTCTCGCTCAGCGGCGGCTCCTGCGCACGTTCTAGGATTGTTAGAAATTCTGGACACTTACTTACGCAGACGGAATTCTGAACATACTTCGCAGACATTGCACATGGAAGCTGTCTAAACGGGCTCTGTCAGCTTGCAATGAGCAAGCAGTCTCTAAATTATACAGCAGCTTGGGCAAGACAATTGCTTGATACAGATTGATTTTCTGGTCGCGGCATATATTAGCGTGCGACCAACAGTGAGACAGAGCTTTGAATAGAGACTTGGCTTCACCAATTCTCCGAGTGATTTCAGGTTTTGCTGAGCATTCTACATTCCATAATCTTTCTGAATGCACCGCCTGTTCCACTATTTTCAGCGGCGCGCCGGCGGGAGAAAGCAACGTACCAGAGTTATGTACACGCATGCATACAGCTTTGCCCCAATTCAGATCCAAGCCATATGACAAGCCTTCGTCAATGACTGTGTTGAGTAGTGTTTGAAGCTTCCCAGAATTGCTGCTGAGTAACATTGTGTCATCGGCGTATAACAAGTCACTGCATGCCAAATATTTGGGCTCCCAGACAGCATCGTGTAGGCCAGCCATTCTGTTGTCGACGTCGTAAAACATGACGCTTTGAACAATAGTCCAAAAATAGTATGGGGACTATTTCTTGACCAGTTTTTTGAATATTTTATGGTATGTTTTGGCTATTTCTCATTTTTCGTCCAAAATCCCTCTGTAGGGGAACAGGCCCGACTTAAACGTAGTTGGCGAGCGAGGAGGGAAAGCGAGAAGGAGAAGGCCTTCTCGGAAGGCGGCGCGGCTTCTTAGAAGCCCTCGCGCCTTCTGAGAAATGTACTTTGCGTCCTCGGGGAAGGCGTAGAGAAGACTTCTCAGAAGTCTGGGGACTCCTGGGCCTTCTGAGAAGGCCCGCGGGAGCGTGGCGCGGTGCGCACCCGCGGGAGCTGTGTGTGCTGCTCCCCGTCGTCGCTCTGTTCGGCTGGTTCTCGTGGCAGAGGCACGGGGGGCGAACAGCTAAGCACAGTGCGAGCAGCCAGCGCAGCGACACGGCAGGGCAGCGAAGTTGTTGCGAGTCGCTAGCGTGTGAGGACCTTCTGAAGGAGGCGCTGCGCCTTGGAACGCGAGGCGTTCCGGTCTTCCTGTGCGCGCACAGGTGCCGAAGGACAAGAAGATCGCCATCCTGAAGGTGGTCCGCACAATCACAGGTGCCGCGCCCCCTGGTGCTGAGCCGGAGGAGGAGGCGGAGTGTCTAGTGATTGTCGTGATCGTCTCGCTTCGTGGTGTGCTGCATGTTTGCGGTGGTGAATCTGAAGTATGCGATCTTTCGCACCCCTCCTTTCAGCCGCCCCCGCTCCAAATCATTTCACGCGAGACAGGGGATGGACAGGGAGGCCATGAAGCAGAAGCTGGGAATGGGGGACAACACCTCCATCATCATCATCATCATTATCATCATCATTATCATCATCATTATCATCATCATCATCATCATCATCATCATCAGCATCATCCTCATCCTCATCCTCATCATTATCATCATCATCATCATCATCATCATCATCATCATCATCATCATCATCATCATCATCATCATCATCATCATCATCAGCAGCATCATCATCATCATCAGCAGCAGCATCATCATCATCATCACCATCATCATTAGCATCATCGTCGTCATCATCATCATCATGAGCATCATCATCACAATCAGCATCAGCATCAGCATCATCTTCATCATCATCATCACTATCACCATCACCATCACCATCATCATCATCACCATCATCATCATCATCATCATCATCATCATCATCATCATCATCATCATCATCATCATCATCATCATCCCGCGGTCACGAGCTCTGTGTGGGGTTGCATGCGAGTTCGACGACGAGCGCAGCGTCGTGGCACTCTCAAGATGTGCCTCGCCGCCGCTGACACCCACCTCTCTGCACCTCCTCGTCTTCAGAATTCAACAATCGACTTAAGCTGGGAGTGTCCCTCTACAGGAGGAATATTCAAAAATAGTAACAAACAATCTGGGGACGACTTTTCGATTATTTGTTCATTATGTTTGAACGTGTTTTGACAATTCTTAGTTTTTCCTCCAACATCCGCCTGTAGGAGGACATGCCCGACCTAACAATTGACCTACACCGATCCTGGCTAGACCGAGCCCGGCTCCAGGACAGGTGTCCGACGAAATCAGGAGTGCTGCCAGATCGAACCCCAGGTCCGCAGGGAGGGCAGACCGATCTGCTATGCGAACTTGTTTTCCTAGTTCATCGGGTCCCTGGCACCCCCCTGGGCCGCGCACATGCCGCCGGCCATGATTTGCGCCCCCCCTTTGGACGCCCCCTCTTGGCCGACGCCGATTTCAAGGATGAGCCAATAGCCAGACCTGCAGGTATGTTCGACTGGGTCGGCGTCGTGTAGGTATGTCCTTGGCGGATCCCTGCCCTCATCTTCGCCTTCCCCCCCTCCTGCCCGTCCGCGCGACCCTCGAGGCCTGGGCCTGAAGGAGGCCAAGGGTATGGTGGACAACCCAGGGAAGCTCCTGGAGGTCCTCCCCCGCTGTGTCTCGTCCCTCCGTCCCGGATGGGGCGCGCGAGGAGGGAGGTCGGATGGCGGCCATCTCCGGAGCCACCAGTGGCGCAGGGGGATTTTGGACGAAAAATTAAAGATAGTTAGAAACAAACGCCAAAATGGTCAAACATACTCAGCAAATCGTCCACCGACTATTTTTCGTCAATCTTGGAGTATTCCTCCTGTAGAGGGACAGAGGCCCGACTTCAGGGCAGGACTTCGCACGCCCCATCCCCAGCTGCAGGAGAGACGCCTCGCCGAGCCCTGACCGGGAGGAGGAGGAGGAGGAGGAGGAGGGAGGAGGAGGAGGTGGAGGAGGAGGAGGAGGGGGAGGAGGAGGGGAGGAGGAGGACGAGGAGAAGGAGGAGGAGGAGGAGGAGGAGGAGGAGGAGGAGGAGAAGGAGGTGGTGATGGTTGTGGAGGGAGCCGCGCGCGCGTGCGGGAGCTGTGCCTGGGCGCTCGGACCCGTGCGGGTCGGACGCCGCCATCTCTGACCCCCAGGGGCCCGCCAGCGCTTCGCGAGGGGGGGTCTCTGGAGGCCGCCTGGGGCCTGCCTGGAACAGCTGGGGCCAGGGTCGCCCCCGGCCAGGGTCACCTCTGGCATACTCCGAGGAGGGGAACGGGGCGCTCTGGCCACGAAACGCACGGGAAGTGCGACACCGTACGTTTTCCCTCGGGATTGTGACGATTGTAGTGGCCTCCCGCCAGTGCCTCCGATCCGGGGTGCTACCGATTCTGCTTGCAACGGATAACCTTTTTTCCCTACCTAGGCTCTGCCTAGAGGGTTCTTACGCTCTTAGCGTAAAGGGGCCGGGCAGTGGAACGCGCCCCGGGCGGTTCCCCCAGTCCCCGCCCCGCGGTTCCCCCAGTCGCGCCCCCTGGGTTCACCCAGCTAAGCTTAGCTAAGCTAAGCTTAGCTTAGCTTAGCTTAGCTTATCTCATCTTAATTCAACTTAGTTTAGCTTAGCTTAGCTTAGCCTGGCCTAGCTTAGCTTAGCTTAGCTTAGCTTAGCGCAGCATAGCGCAGCGCAGCATAGCGCAGCGCAGCATTAGCACAGCATAGCATAGCATAGCATAGCATAGCCTGACATAGCATAGCATAGCATAGCATAGCTCAGCATATCATCGCATAGCATAGCATAGCATGGCATAGCGCAGCATAGCATATCATAGCATAGCATAGCGCAGCATATCATAGCGTAGCATAGCATATCACAGCATAGCATACCATGGCCTCGCCTAGCCCAGCATAGCATCGCATACCATAGCATACCATAGCATAGCAGAGCAGAGCAGAGCAGAGCAGAGCAGAGCATATCATAGCGCAGCACATCATCCACTATTGCTGCTGCTGCTATATCTACATATGTACTTATATGTGTCTGTGCGCACGTGCGTTTACGGCTCCTACTAATGTTGTGTTCATAGAGGCTCCAACTCGTAGGTAGGGTCTCACTGGGATACTATGTTTTAAATTACCCCAGTGCGACCATATCTAGAAGTTGGAGCCCCCTAGGAAAGCAGCATTAGCTGCTATGCTATGCTATGCCATGCCATGCCATGCCATGCCATGCTATGCTGCGCTATACTATGCTATGGTATGCTTTGCTTTGCTTTGCTATGCTATGTTGCGCTATTATGCTATGGTATGCTATGATCTGCTCTGCTATGCTATGCAATGCTATGCTACGCTGTGCTATGATGTGATGTGCTGTGCTGCGCTGTGCTATGCTATGCTATGCTATGCTGCGCTATGCTGTGCTATGCTGGGCTTTGCTAGGATATGCGGTGCTGCGCTATGCTATGCTACGCTATGCTATGCTGTGCTATGTTATGCTATGCTAAAGCTCAACGAAGCTAATATGAAGGTAAGCTAAGCTAAGAAACTATTGAGGTAAGATGAAACTAAGCTAAGGTAATATGACATAAGCTAAGCTACTATTAGATAAGCAACGCGAAGCTACGGGAACGTCACTGACGGAACCGCGGGGCGGATCCTGGGGGAACCGCCCGGGGCGTGCCCCACTGCCCGGCCCTTTAAGCCTCCGAGTAAGAACCCTTCTAGGCAGAGCCTAGGCAGGGAAAAAGTAGAGCACTCGCTCGAGACATCCTCATAAGATAAAAAGGTTGAACTCGCTTGGGCAACCTTCGGATATTCGAAAATGACGATCTCGCGTGAACAGCCAAATTCACGGGATGCCCCCTCGCACCTTCCGGGCCTGAATGGCGTCAGCCATGGCATCAGCCCCCGCTTCCCCCCCGACTCCCCCGTCCCAGGCGCGAATGGCGTCAGCCCTGGCGTCGGCCCTCCCCCCCCTCTCCTGTCCCGAGCCTGAATGGCGTCAGCCATGGCGTCAGCCCCCCCCCGACAGAGTGAAGCTTGAGCGAGCTCCACCGCCCCTCCCCCCTCCAGGGCCTGAATGGAGTCAGACATGGCGGCAGCCCTCCCCCCCTCTCCCCGACTCCTCCATCGCGGGCCTGAATGGCGTCAGCCATGGCGTCACCCCCCTCCCTCCCCACTCCCCAGTCCTGGGCCTGAATGGCGTCAGCTATGGCGTCAGCCGCCTCCCCCCCGACAGAGCGAAGCTTGAGCGAGCTCCCCCCCTCCCCCCTCCCAGGTCTGAATGGCGTCAGCCATGGCGTCAGCTCCCCCCCCCGACTCCCTCCTCCCGGGCCTGAATCCCCCCCCCCCCCTCCTGGGCCTGAATGGCGTCAGCTATGGCGTCAGCCCTCTCCCCCCCCTCGACAGAGCGAAGCTTGAGCTCCCTCACTCCCCCCTTCCCTCCTCCCGGGCCTGAATGGCGTCAGCCATGGCGTCAGCCCCCCCCCTTCCCCCGACATCCTCCCTCCCCCGTGCTGAATGGCGTCAGCCCCCTCCCCCCCTCCCTCCCGGGCCTGAATATCGTCAGCCCCCCCCCTCCCTCCTCCTCCCTCCCGGGCCTGAATGGCTCATCCCCCCCTCCCCCGACAGAGCGAAGCCCTCTCCATCCCCCCCCCCTCCCTCCCTTGGCTGAATAGCATCAGCCCCCCCCCCCCCTCAGCTGTTTCTCCCTCCCCCGACCGAGCGAAGCCCCCCCCCCTCCTCTCCTCTCCCGAGCCTGCATGGCGTCAGCCCCCTCCCCCCCCTCCTCCTTCCACCGGCACTGAATGCGTCCCCCCTCATCCGCCCCTCCCTCCCGCCACCCTGCCTGAACGCTCAGGAGAAAAGCCGTCCGCGGGTGTCTGTGTATGTGAATGGCGTCCCCCCCTCCTCCCCCTTTCCCGACAGAGCGAACCCCCCCACCCGTCGTCCCTCGTCCCGGGCCTGAATGGCGTCAGCCATGGCGTCAGCCCCCCTTCCCCCCCCCCCTCCCGACAGAGTGGCGAATCCCCCCCCTCTCCTCCGGGCCCTGAAGGAAAAGAGCCCCCCCACCCCTCCATCGCGTCAGCCCACCCCCCTTATCCTCCCTCCCTGGCCTGAAATGGCGCATCCACCCCCCCCCCCCTCCACCTCACCAGGCCTGAATCGCGTCAGCCCCCTCCCCTCTTCTCCTCCTCCCGGGGGCCCCGCCTGATGGCGTCGCCCCCTCCCCCCTCCTCCCTCCGAGCCCTGTAATGGCGTCAAGCCCCCCCCCCGCCCCCCCCTTCCCCCTCCCCTTTCCTCCGCTCTCCCGGGCTTGAATGGCGTCAGCTCCCCCCCCTCCTCCCTCCCAGGCCTGAATGGCGTCAGCCCCCTCCGCCCCTCCTCTTTCCCAGGCCTGAATGGCGTCAGCCCCCCACCCTGCGACAGAGCGAAGCTTGAGCGAGCTCGAGCCCACGCTCTCAGAAACTCACACCCCGGTTCGGCGGATTTTTGTTTGTGCGGGCTTTATCGGTCGGAGGAGCTGCACCACCAGAATATCGAAGACGCCTACGGCGAATCACCGCCGCCCCCTGCCTTCTAGAATCGCCCGTGTGGCCGAGCATTGTGGCAAGAGCTCCGCCAAGCTATCGGACCATGTGTTCCCCCAGCCGTTGTGGAAATCCTTCGGGGAACACTTGTGAGAGGATGGCGGGGAAGATCAGGACAAGCCAGAGGAGGAGGTGAAGGAGGAGAAGGAAGAGTTCGAGGAGGAGGAGGAGAAGGAGGTATCCTGGGAGCCCATAAGGAGGCACTCTCGGGGCTCCTGGGAGCGTCCTGGGAGCCCCCGTGCCTCCCCCCTCCCCTGCGAGCGGCTGCGAGCCTGCAGTCCTGATCCTTACGCACTGGGGAGACCTGGCACAAGCTCAGAGGCGTAGTAGTAGTAGTAGTAGTAGTAGTAGTAGTAGTAGTAGTAGTAGTAGTCGTAGTCGTAGTCGTAGTCGTAGTCGTAGTCGTAGTCTTAGTCGTAGTCGTAGTCGTAGTCGTAGTCGTAGTCGTAGTCGTAGTCGTAGTCGTAGTCGTAGTCGTAGTCGTAGTCGTAGTCGTAGTCGTAGTCGTAGTCGTAGTCGTAGTCGTAGTCGTAGTCGTAGTAGTAGTAGTAGTAGTAGTAGTAGTAGTAGTAGTAGTAGTAGTAGTAGTGGTAGTAGTAGTAGTAGTAGCAGCAGCAGCAGCAGCAGTAGTAGTAGTAGTAGTAGTAGTAGTCGTCGTAGTGCGTTGCTCTCGGCCAAGCAGCGCGGCGGCAAGCCCTCTAGTCAGGGGAGGGCCGTTTGAGAGTACGGCTGGTCACCTTTTGCGCCTCCCCTCGTCGCCGCGGCTGGACGCCGCTCGGAATACTTGCTTGGCGACGAACCCAGTCGTATGAAGCCTTGGAAAACGCCATTGTGAGCACCGCCACTGGAGCACAGCTTCCGCTGTCTCAACCCGCCCTGCGCCCCGACGCCTCTCGCTTCGAAGGGGCCGCTCGCTTAGCCTCGGAGTGGCCGCTTGGCCGCGACAGGCTGCCAATCCCGACGGGCCCGGAAAAGTGGCGCGGCCGCCAGAGGCGTTTCAGAGGCTCTTCAGAGGCGCTTCAGCATCAGAGGCGCTTCAGAGGCTCTCCAGAGGCGCTTCAGAGGCTCTACAGAGGCACTTCAGAGGCCATGTGTAGGCTCGTCAGATGTTGTAATCTGGTGTCCGCTTTATAGAATTCGTATCGTAATCAATCACGTTGCGATCGGTCCCTTTTCGGCGGTTGCAATCTGGCCGAAGTAGTTCGCGAACGGCCCGAAGTGGTTGTAATCGGCCTGATTCCCCGTCAGCCCCCAACCGCCCACCATTGCCGATAGGAGCCCCGGGGCCCCGCCCCGCCCGGATCTCGCCATCGAGGAACCACCGCCGATGCATCGGCGGTGCGTGGCCAATGCCAGGTTAACGTTCCCCCCTGGGCCAGCGCCCCACGTGTCGCCCCCCACCCCGGGGGGGGAACGCGTGGGCAGTTGGCGCAAGATTTGCTAGAGACGCGCATCGCTCGTGCACGCTAGGCCGCTAGGCTGGTACCTCGGCCTCCACGGGTCGCCCCAGCATTGCGTGAGATGTGCTTGCTTTCGTTCCTGTGTCTCGTGGGCGTCCGCGGCATGTGCTTTCCTTGGTCAATTTCGGCGCGGGTCGTGCGCAAGTCCCTGGAGTTCTTGGGGCGCGACGTTGGGGGGTTTGGCCTCCCCCTCTCGCCGCGTCGAAGGCATCGAAGGGTGGAACGCGCGATCACCCCACTCGGGGCAGTTCCCATGCAGGGCCCACGGCCTTTTTTCACCTCCTCCTCCTCCTGTTTTTTCTCCTCCTCCTCCTCCTGCTCCTTCTCCTCCTCCTCCTCCTCCTCCTCCTCCTCCTCCTCCTCTTCCTCCACGTCTTCCTCCTCCTCCTCGTCCTCGTCGTCGTCGTCCTCCTCCTCCTCCTCCTCCTCCTCCTCCTCCTCCTACTCCATCTCCTCTTTGGCGGCGCGCAGGGAGGCGCAGGGCGAGGCGGGATGGACCGTAAGAAGGCAGTCCCTCCCCGTGAGCCAGGGTGCCCCTCCCCCGATTCAGTCCCCTCCCTGCAGCCAAGACGCTGAAGCAAGGACCCCTTTGGGCTCAAGAGGGGCTCCGGTTTCCAGGCCTTTCTTTAGATCGAGGTCCGGGAGAGAACTTTTTCGATCCTCAAGTAGTGGTAGCACGATGACTGCATCGTTTCCCCTCGCCCCCCCCTCCAGTGGCCGTCCTCTCTGCACGAGGGGGTCGCAAAAGTGTGTCGTTTGCTGGCCGATGAGATTTTTTTCTTTTGGGGGTGGGGCCCTTCTTTGGGGGCTCAGTCCCTGGGGTCCCCCCGGCGGGTTCCAGCGGTTTTAGGGTCTTGTGGGGGCGCGTTTCGCCGGGCAGTCGAGACGCTGCTGCAAGGTCGACGTTCTTCTTTATACATTATTTGTGTCTATTATATGTCTATGTATATGTATATATACATATACATTATATTTGTACACTATATGTGTATATACACATATGTACACACGATCGGCAGAAGCGCGCTCGCCCTCACCCCCCGGTAGAGTGGTCCAGGGCTGATTTGAGGAGATGCTTCGATCCATAGGACGAAGCACGGGGGCCATCCCCCCCACCATGGAGACTCGAATCGCCGATGATGTGCGCAAGTGTGGGTCCTGTTTTTGCACTTCATGGAAAAAAACATGAAAAGGCTCCGGGGCGCCAGACGCGATCACAAAAAGAAACGTCTGCCAATGTCGGTTATCCTCTCATGTGCCTGTCCTGGCCTGGCTGCTTTTGAGCTTTTTTGTTTTTGATGTTCGTTGGTCGTGTGTCCGTGGCCTGATTGTTATCTGAGTGTTTTTGTTTGCAGCCTGAATTTGGGTTGTGTTGTTGTTCTTTTTCACGGAAGCGTGCGTTGCGTCAAATTTGATGACTGATCGCGGGACAGTCAGGAATCCCGACTTTGGCCTCGCGCGCAGAACCAGAGCGCGCTGTTTCACGAACCTTGCGTTGCATGAGGTTGTAATTTGACGAAGTCCAAAGTGCCCGCTTGATTCAATCATATTGAGTAAGCACGGGTCGGAACATGACCCTCCCCCTCCACCCCCCTTCGGTCGATTGCCAGAAGTAGGAATAATAATTCGATCTCATCGGAGGCCTAGAGCTTGACACCAGCACCAATGTCGGCGGTGTGCCTCCACCGAGGGCACTGGATCCCGACCTCGGCCACGGTGGCAGTGTTCGCGCCTCCTGGATGGCCGAACTATTACCACCGTCGCCACAATCTGGTGCTACCTGCCCCCAGCGGATGCACCCCTCTGTGTTGGTGCCGGTGCCCATCCCCGAGCCTCCAAAGTCAAGTTCGATTTTGGGGCTCCGCAGGGGCTCTGGTCTCCAGGCCGCTCCTCGGATCTCCTGGGTCGGGGAGCCTCTTCGCTGCCGCGGCCCGCCGTGGCCAGAGCAACCTTTCTCGGGAGAGGAAAAAACACACACGGACACAATCAATCCTCGATTCCCCAGGAAATATGGAAAGTATGGCAAGTGGGGGGGAAGACAGAAACCGAGAAAATGTGGGAAACTATGGGGAGCATCTTTGTTTGTGTGCATTTGTTTGTGCGTGTCCTGGGGCCCCTCCGCTTCCCGTTTTTCAGACTGGGTGGCAGCACGACGACGACTGGCCTGTTGCCTCCCGCGCCCTCCCCCCCAGCTCGGCGGCGCGCCCCGGGGGGAAGCGAGGAGGGGCGGGCCTCCCCGGAAGGCCCGGAGGCCCCCCCCCCCCGCCTCCCGGAGAAGGCTCCGCAGGCCTGCCCCCCGAGGACGGGGAGAAAGCTCCTCGGGAGGCGCGAGGGCTTCTGAGAAGCCCCGCCCCTCTCGGAGACGGCAATCTCCTCCTCACGTTCCTCGGCAACACCCCAACATACGTATACTATATGTGCGTCGCCCCCCCAGGGGTCCGCAGGCCTGCCCCCCGAGGACGGGGAAGACTTCTCGGGAGGCGCGAGGGCTTCTGAGAAGCCCCGCCCCTCTCGGAGACGGCAATCTCCTTCTCACGTTCCTCGGCAACACCCCAACATACGTATACTATATGTGCGTCGCCCCCCCAGGGGCGACGCGCGCGCCGAGAAATCTTACAGTACATGCGTCGTGGCGGGCGCATCCCGGCCACACCGCTCGGGAAACGATATACTACAAGATGGGTATACTATATGTTTGAGTCGGACGCGCGCCTCCAAGGAGAACATCTAGTACTAGTATGTCTTTGTGCATCCCAGTTCCCCCCCCCCCGCTCGCCGCCGACCAACCGCCGCCGTCTCTGGCCGAGGAGGGACCGCAGGAGGGGATCCTCTGCTGGTCGACCGGGGGAAGTCTTTCGCGGGGTCACTCTTGGGGAGCTCCGGCCAGGGTCTCCAGCGGTCGAGGGGTGCTTCTGGTCGTGTTCCGCAGGGCTCTGCGTGGTGGCTCGGGCCGAACGCAAGGGGGGGATAGGGGAAGGGGGGGTTACGAAATCTGCTGCATGCAGCTGATTTCGGCCTCGCCGCTGGGCCCATTCCTCGATACATGGGCGCCTCCTGGCGCCGCGAGGCGGCGGGGAAATCAGCTAACTACTTGAGCTGATTCTCAAACCTCCCCTTTGCTATCCCCCCCTTTCGCCCGACCCGAGTGGCGGGGATGAGGCGGACGGGGCGGACGGGGGGGCAAGAGGGAGGGGCGTTTTGAGTGGTTCGGTTGGGCCCTCGCCACGCGCTTTCGGCCTATCTCTTGGACCGCACCTCGCCACGTCCAGAGCGCCTCTGCAGCAGATCTATCGGTTGGCCCGCGCACTGCCACTGGCCGCTCTGCTAGGCGAAGCCGAAGGACATCTGCGAGGCACCAGCTGGGGTGGGCGTGGGGGAGCTGACATCACCAGCGACCGCAGCGTTTCCTCGATAGCTTCATCGACCGCGTTTCCGCCGTCGTCTGCATCTGTGTCCTCGTCGTTGCCTTCGTCATCTCGGCTACTTTGCGGGCGCCGCAACGTGAAGACTCCATTGGCAGTGGTGGCACGTGTCAAAAAGCACAAGCTTGCTAATGGTGATGTAGATGGGTATTTGGAGTCGATCGTATCAAGACGCTAGCGTTTGTTGTCATCACCATCTTCGCCCTGAACAGATTCGTGCACGTCAACTCGTCGTTGCCCCCCCCCCCCCCGCTGCCGCCACTGCCTGTCCGCTGCTTGTGACCTGTTGGGTCACCGCAGTTGTACAATTCTTATCAAGAGTGCGCTAGCGTGCGTTGACATGGGATCTTGACGAGTATGTGCCAAACAGTTTGGCAAAGCGTTGTTGTTGTCATCGTTGTCGCTCTCGTGGTTGCCAGCGTCGTCGTCGCTGTCGTCGTTGCCATGGTCGTAGATTCCACCAAGGTCAACTCCTCATCCGCCTCCTCCTCCCCATCTTCCGTCTCATCCTCTGACTGTTACTCGTACTCGCTCCTCCTCCTCCTCCCTAGAATCTCCGAAGACCCCCCTTACGAGACCCCCCAAGAACCTCAACAAATCATTTGTTGGCACACCCCGTATTTATGGAAACCGTGGCACATTCCTCAGACAACAGAGCGCCGTGGTTACTTTGATCCATCATTCCTGCTCTGCTCCTGTCCCTCCTCCTCTTTCTCCTCCTCCTCCTCCTCCTCCTCCTCCTCCTCCTTTCTAGTAACCTCATTATTCCTCCGCCTAGGCCCCCCCTCCCCTCCTGGTGGGGCCCTGAGCCACTCCCACCTAGGCAGCGTAGCTAGCCTCGCAGAGTTCATGTGTGAATGGTTCCGCTCGTCTTCTGTGGACGTTGATGGCCCCATGGGCTCTGATCTGACCTGACCTCCCTCCTCCGTCCTCCTCCCCCTCCTCCGTCTCCCTCCTCAGTCCTCTTCCCCCTCCTCCTGCTTCCTTCCTCCTCCCTCTTCCTCCCCCCTCCCTCCGCCCTCCTCTCCTCCGCCCTCTTCCTGCCGCCCTCCCCATCCGCCCCCATCCCTCGAGGAGGCGCTGAAGCAGCTGGAGGAGGCGGGGGCAGCGGCCTGCGCGCGACATTTCCACGGCCACTGGAGAGAGGAGGGAGGCGAGGGAGGGAGGGCTGGGGGGAGGGAGCGAGGAGGGCGACGGGGAGCCATGGGGCGCTGAAGAGGAGGGATAGGGATAGGAGGTCATGATGATGGTGATTATGATTACGATTCCGAGTATGACGGTGATGATGATTTTAATGCTGTTGTTGTTGACGGCGACGACCATGATTACGGCGGCGGCGGCGAGGAGGAAGAGGCTGGTTATGTTGTTGTTGTTGTTCTTGCTGATGATGTTGGTGCCAAATGAAGGTGATGACGAGGACGATTATGATGGTGGTGACGATGACGATGACGATGCTGTTGATGATGACGTTGATGATGGTGATGCGGACGATGATGCTGATGATGATGATGATGCTGATGGTGCAATTGCTGCTGATGATGAGGATGCTGGTGGTGGTGATGATGATTATGATGATTATGATGATGTCGGTGATGATGCTGACGCTTATGACATTGCGTGCGTGTTGGTGATGTTGCTAATGATGATGATGTTGTTGGTGGTGGTGTTGTTGTTGCTGGTGGTGGTGTTGGTGTGTGTGCTGCTGCTGTTGATGCTGCTGATGGTGATGCTGATGATGATGACGACGATGCTGATGGTGATGATGATGCTGATGCTGATGATGGTGATGGTGCTGATGATGACGTTGTTGATAAGTGGTGAGGAGGAGGGGAAGGAGGAGGAGGAAGAGGAGGAGGAGGACTGTGATGAGAAAATGACGGAGGATTAGTAAGGGGGCCAGGACCAGAGTAAACCCACGCCGCATAATCGGTGCTGCAATGCACCCCTCCGCCCCAGACCCCCTCTTCGTGAGTCCTTACAAGCCGTCCTTGTCAATACGTCTCCTCCTCCTTCTCCTCATCCCCCTCCTCCCCCTCCTCCTCCTTCTCCTCCTCCCCCTCCTCCTCCTCCTCCTCCTCCACACTCCTCATCCTCCTCCTTTCCCTCCTCCTCCTCCTTGTCCTCGTCCTCGTAGTCCTCCTCCTCCTCCTCCTCCTCCTCCTCGTCCTCGTCGTCCTCCTCCTCCTCCTCCTCATCCGAGAAGCGCCCACTTGAACGACAAGCACATCATCTGCCTGCCATGCAGGCGAGAGCCCCGTTTTGGAAAGGAATTGACTTTCAGGTTTCTCAACGAATTCTGATGCGTGCGAGCAGACATGCTGGTGCAGTTGCACCGAAAGCGAAACATAAATCTAAGAGGTGGAAATCGCGCGGTGCAGGTTTAAGTATTTCGCCCGAGCCCCCCAGATACTTTAGTGCAAGTGCTCCGTCGCTCAGTGCACAGCGTCAGTTTCCTATCGTGAGACAGGCGGGCGTGGCTGGAGTTTCATTGTTGTTGTCCGCTCCAGCAAAATATATGGCGCCTCATCTGTGCATCTGCTGCACGCATTCGCGCTTTTGGGGTCGAGAAGGTCGAGGGGACCTCAAACGAGAGCCAAGTATGGAACATGTGCTCACGGTTCTGCTCTTCAAGTGCAGGAAATTCCGAAGCGAGGGCCAGATTTTGGAAAAGCAGCCGTCCTCGATCCTTGCAGCTGTTGCAAGAAAGTCGAATGCGCAGATTCCAAAAATAACGGTCCTCCGTCCTGGTAATTGTTGCACTGGTGTAAGACTCAGGTGCGCGGCGCTTAGGCTAGAGCCCCATTTTGAACACGGCACCCTCCCCATCCACCCATGTAACAGGCACATGCTTTTAGGATGAATCGGCGCGGCGCTAAGACAAGAGCCCCATGCTGACAAGGGGTCACCCTCCATCCTTGTAATTGCTGCAAGTTGTGAAGACGAATGTGCGCGGCGCCAGGGCAATAGCCCCATTTTGACAAGGATCCGCCCTCCATCAGCGTAACTGTTGTAAGTGTGTAGAGTCTATGCGTGCGGCGCTGAGGCGAGATACCCCATTTTGCCCCCCTCCCCCCCATCATCCTTGTAACTGCTATCGGATTTTAGAACGAATGGGCGCGGGGCTGAAGCGAAAACACAATTTTGAAAGACCCCCCCTGCATCCGTGCAGATGTTTTACATCAGCGTCGAACTTCGAGGTCATAAGTGCTCAGGAAGTCTCATACGGAACATCCGGCCCGCTCTGCCGACACGTCTAGGGGCGCGACAGAGAGCATATCTTCATAAAGAGAAGGGATGGAGGAGGAGGATGTGGAGGAGGTGGAGCAAGAGAATGGAGAAGGAGGAGGAAGAGAAGGAGGAGGATGAGGAGGAGGAGGAGGAGGGCGGAGGAGGAGGAGGAGGCAAACAAAGAAAGTCAAGCCAGGCGCCAGGTGACGCCGCATCGGCAAGGAATCGACAGGAGCGCGATTGGCTCACATCTTCAGCAGGGAGAGAAATCGTGAGAAGAAAATCAGGAACAGGAGGAGGAGGAGGAAGAGGAGCAGGAGGAGGAGGAAGAGGAGCAGCAGGAGGAGGAGGGAGGAGGAAGAGGAGGGAGGAGGAGGAGGAGGAGGAGGAGGAGGAGGAGGAGGAGACACCTGGAAAAGAAATTAGCAGCAGAGGAAGAGGAGCAGCCTGCGACTGTGGAGGCCCCTGTTGGGCGGTCCGGCTCGCCGCACGGCTCGCTCCTCCTCGAGGTCCTGGTCAGACAGCGCCCCGGGAGAGGTCCTGGGGCCGACTTCCCTCCCTTCTGCTCCCGTGGCTCGCCCCCCACCGGATCCCCTCTCTCGGAGGAGGGAAAGGTACAGTCGGGTCCCTGAAGAAGGAGCCTTTTTCGTTGGGGAGGGGCTCCGTGTTCCTTACTTGTTTCACAGCGCGCCTCAGGTCTTCCTTCTGTTTTCGATGGGGAATCGAAGTTCAACTTATGGTAAAGAGGGGCCTCGTTCCTGATTTGGGGTTCCTTAGGTCCACGCCCCGACTGTACCCATGCCGCTACCATTCCCTCGCTTTCCCCTCCTGGGGTCTCCCGGGAGGCCCCTCGTCGCCACCGCCGCATGCGCCTCGAGAGTCTGGTCCGAACGCACCCCGGCAGAGGTCCGTGGAGTAGCGGTACTGGTACCACTTGGCTTCCTCGGAGGTCAAGAGACAAGGGCTCCCTCGAGGGCGCGAAGTTATTCGCGCTTCGCGCTTCGCGGTCCTCGTTCCTTCTCCCCCTCCTCCTCGTCCTCCTATTCTCCCTTTGGGAGGGCGGCGCGAGAGCGCGAAGTTATTCGCGCTTCGCGCTTCGCGCAGCGCGAAGCGCGAAGTTGGGAGCTAAGAGACGGGGCTCAATGCAAACGTGGGTCAGTCAGAGCGCCAGATCTTGCGGGATCCTGCAGGGGCAGGGTCGCATTGACCCGGGCTCGGGCGCATGATCCTGCTGCAGAGCCTGACTGACCCAGGCTTGCATTGACCCGGGTCAGTAAGTCCCCGATTTCCCCATTCTCTCCACTCTCCCCACGCTTCTCCTCATCCTCCTTTTCCCCTTCCCCTCCCGATGGTGATCAGAGCTGCTCGTGCGGCGTATGGCCGTGGGAGGTGCTCTCACACGCCGTGTCTCCCACGCGCCGCCCCGGTGTGTGCGATGTGCCGTCCGTCCGTCCGCTCGCCGCGTTCGTCGTCGTCCTCCTCGAACTCGAACTCTAGACCCGTGGTGTGCGGTGTTCTGGCCAGAACTTCGAGGCCGAGGCAGTGGCGGTGGGGATCCTCCGGGAGGCGGGCCAGGATCGGCTTGCGAACGGCTCCAGGCGCCCACGGCATTCCCTTCGATCGCCGACCTGGATCGAGGAGTCCCCCGTGCACGCTGTGCTTGGCCGAGCGCCCGAAACGTCCCCCTCCCTCCCCCCCCTCCCCGCTCCTCCCTCGCGTCGGAGGCCGTAGCCGACGTGTAACAGACATTTTTTTCAATCGTCCT